CCGCGCCTTCCGAGTCGAAGGCGAGGATGGTAAGCACGAGGGGGAGGGTGATATGTTTTCCATGGCGAGGTGTATACATTAATTTTCAGGTCACGTGGCACGAAAATTATTAATTTGCAATTGGCTTTGTAATTGCCTCTCTATTGGGTTTATTTCCCAATATTATTCAAAAATGCTCTTTGAAAATGTTCAGCTTTTTTCCACGTTTTTTGCTTCAGAATGGAAGCAGTTTTGATTGTACAATCATAATTTCTGGAGATGGATAATTTTCGAAAGATAATCCAGCCGGACCTTAATCGAAAAATCCAATTCAGAAATTTAAAATGGATTGTCAAATAATAATTGAAAATTGAAATTATTTTCAAATTTCAATAAATATTAGTGAACTTCAATTAATTCAAGATAAACTTCTTTTAATATTACTAAACTAGTGATTTTTTCCGATCTTTGTTTTACAGATATTTGCTCCAGCTGTTTCTGGAAGCCGGATGTGTTGGTTGGGCTGCAGTACTTGCCACAATCCTCAGGGATCTTTCAGCAATGGCGAGAAGCATCAGAGCAGCACACGCCCCCATGCAAACTCTCGAGAGCATCATTAACCTGAGAGATGGTCTCCTGATGCTGACAAAATGGTCTAATTCAGAATGCCTAGGCTACAGAAATTTCACCTCAGGACTGCAGGCCCAAACTTCATTATTGAATCGTCTCATTGTGGTGAAGCAGCAGCAGCAAGCCCAGCATCTCCAGGAGCACCATCCGGAGGTGCCGGCCAGTCCTGCCCCAAGTCCTGCTCCCTCGTTCGCCAGCAATCAGAGGGGCAACGTCAGCAGGTCCAGAAGATCATCTGCTAGTCATGCCAGCACTACCACCACGACCCTCGAGGAGGAGAGGGGAGAGGTCTTCGAAGAGGAGAGTGGGTTCAGGGGGAGTTATGGGAATCTCAGCGGCGTGGAGAAGGAAGCAAACTCACAGAGTTGCAGTGTTTCGTAAAAAAATGGGTGAGGTTTTAGAAATACAGTTGTTGCTCAATTTTTGTTTGTGCAATCTAACGACCGAGTGGTTGAGATACTTCACCAGTGGCCCTGATCTTGTATCATAATAGAGGGTTACAGTGACACGCAATGTAGAGAACTGACCTTCGAGCGACAATGACTGTCGTCGAGGGCGATATGAAGGTTAATGGGGGGAGGGGTGATGAGGAAGAAAAATTGTAAGATGTTTCTTTCTCAATGCATTGTTGACTTATACAGGGACATGAATTCAGCAGTGAAGAGGTGAAACGTATTTGGATAAAGTAGGGTGAACAGGTTAATTTCTGGACGGGGGTTAGTTTTTGGTCGATTTCAACTTTCATTGAATATTCCATAAATAATCAAATAAAAATTGTACTGATTATTTCACCTTTCAATAATATTACTCGAGTATAATCATGTGATCAATTTTTTTTCTATTGATCGACATTTAATCAAAACAAAAAATATGGCCCAGTCGTCCAGAAATTAGGGGTTTCGGCTGCATTAAACTATTTCTTAATTTGAGGCCCGCGTGGATTATCTTTCGAACGTTATCTTGATTTTTTTCCATCTTCATAGTCTAAAATATATCATAATTTCTATTAGATGTTACATCACCTAGGTGTCCGCAAAAATTATGATAGCACAATAAAAAAAAGTAGAAAAAAACTGAACATTTTCAAAGACCGTTTTTGATAAAGATTAAGAAGTAAGTCCGATAGAGAGAAAATGGTCAATGGATAATTTATCATGGTAACTAACGATCTGACAGCCATTGACTACAAATTATCAATTTGCAACTTCCTCCCTATTGGGCTTGTTTCCCAATATTATTCAAAAACGCTCTTTGAAAATGTTCATTTTTTCTCAACGTTTTTTGATTGTATGATCATAATTTTTTAAGACTCCAAGGCTAAGTAAAAGTGAAGAAGTCTTCTGGCAATTGAAGAACATTTCAGACTATCAAAATAAAAAAGAAACAACCAAGATCACGTTCCAAAGATAATACACGCGGGCCTTAAGGTATCTCCCTAGAAAACACATTTTTTATAGATAATGTTTATAAGTCCCCAGTTATTGAAAAAAAATTCCAACTAGCTGTACTACACAGTGTAGGAGGTAATAAATAATGAAATGCGGGTTTCTAACACGCGAGGTATAGGCCAAACGTCGTTTATGGGCCCCTCAAACTCGATTTTCCATCTTATGAGAAAACGGTTCTTACGATGTTTTTAAAAAATGAATCCGTGATAGATTGCTAAATTACGTATACGGTGAATTTTTGGTAAAATTTTGTACTTGATAGTTTCTGCGATATTCAACTCTCAAAAATGGAAATTTCTTGGAAGTATTTCTTATTTGACTCAAATAGTTATTGTTGCTTGCACCAATAACACATGAGAAAACTCAATAACTTATGGGAATTCAATGAATTTAGTTTAGTTTAGTTTTCTCAATTTTATTCCGTGATATCAGCAGGAAAAATCTGAGATCGTTTTTGTAGCCCAGAAAATTCCCCGCTAAAAGTTTTCTTCGGGGTTTCCTTCTAAATTTTCTCGTTACTGACACAATTCGATATTCAAAAAGATGGAAAAAATCGTCTTGCTCCTCTTCACTCCTTCGTTCCCCAATTGCTGGATTAAGATTTTAAATTATTTATAATCGGAGACTATTAAAAACCATTAAAAATCTGTGTTCATTATCGTTAAATAGGTAAAATTGACCTCAAAGAATGTAAATAGGATTTTGAATTCAAACAAAGATTTTTCCAGAACACGTTGAAAATGTAAAAACCATTTGTTTCGTGATTGATCCAAACTCGATATTTTTTTTCCAAGAAAAAAAAATTTTTCTCGATGAAAATTGATTTGCGACGACACAGGGTGCGTGTGAATCTACAGGGAATTAAAACCAATTAACAACATTGGAGATAAATTCAGAATGAAAATAGTTGTGACACATTCGTTGTCTCAGCGCATGATATTACTACATTATTATCTGTTGTGAGTCCAATGGATCTTCCGACATTTCGATAATTGCTCATTAGATGTAATAACTGAGTATCAAATGTAAGCAAAGAGCTCGAGGATTTATTTCTGAATGATTTTTTATCAGTCAACAATTACTCATCTAATTGAATCACGAATCGTGATGAGGGGGGAAATTCCATCATTATCTCCGTTCTCTACTGCATTGTTAATTCAATAAGAGAATTGATTATATGACTCTGTATGTCTGTTAGATATTACTTGAGCCTAAGGGCTTATTTATAAAATGAAAGAATTGTACCAATAGTTGAATGATTATAAAATATATTTGAAGATATTTTCACAGAAATAGAGTGTTAATTTTCTTATACAACAATCACCTATGCAAACATGGCAAAAGAGGCGATGAAAATTCACAATTCGTAGTTACTTTCTTTCATTTGGAGACACGTTTCATTTGTTATTGTTTGGAAAACTACTTGAAACTCAGTATCTCCACTTTAATCAGTTTGATAACAAAGTATTCAAATATCAGTGATTTTTTCGCGCCGCATGTTCTCTTATAAGAGCAATTATTATTTTTTAATAAAAATAATTATTATTCTTATCAGTACTCCCAATAATGAAAAAAAGTTAATAATCCGAAGTTGATAGAAAAAGTTTCTTTTGCTTGAATTGCGTCAAATAGTCGTTTTTCGGCTGTTTCATTTTGTCCCAGTCTCCCCTATTAATTAGCAAAATGTCCTGCTAATCAGTGATGTTAGAAGATAGTGAGATGATTTTTTTCTGCAGCAAAGTCTCTAATCTACAAGAAAAATCTCATGATAGATTCCCCCAAAATCACTCGGACTCGATATGAGGGTATAATTAATAAATATTGTTAATGAATAATTTTCGTGATCATTCCGTGGGCTGAAAAAACCTCTTAATATTCGTCTCTGAATCAAGTAGTTTTAGAGATGTTTGAAAGACAAGTTGAATTGAATTTCCAAATGATCACTTTCCATCACTTACAATTATTTACAGAATAGATTATTGAGCACAATAATTAAAAATGAAAAAATAAATGAAGACAACTGCATCCATCAGTCCGGCTGCATTTTCGCGATTTTAATTTCATGTTTTCATCTTTTAATTTCAATACGTAATAAGTAATATCACTAAGAAAGACATTAATGTACATTAATACGAGTGGAGTTGACGTCAAGGCCTGAAGCTGAGAAGTTGCTGAGACTGATGGAAGAAGATTGACTCAGGATCTCAGATAACTGCTGATTCATTTCGTCTGCACGGATATCACTTTCAGGGGAGTAAAAAAATGAAAGAGTATGAGGCAATGATTATTTCTAATCTGTCTATGGCTGATAAGTCGGATTGTAGGCGGCCTGTTTTGCATATACTTCCTGTGTGTAAGGAGGCGGCTGAGCTGGCAGTGGTGATGCTGAAAGTTTGAAGAGAAAGAAAAAATTCATAACTGATAAGGAATTTCTTCGGATTGAGGATAATGAATAAACGGGGAAGATGGTGAGATTAATATATCTTCGTGGGCTATTGCATGATTTTTTCTTCATCAAATAAAATAATGGAATACGCAAAATCATAGAGAATTGAAAACGCATCAATTTTTCATTATTTATCGAAATAAAAGATTCGTCTCCAATATTTTGAATCCAGTTTTCATGTGCAGTAGTTGAGAATGTTCATGCAGGATTCCACCTCGACGAGAAATTGCAAGATACATTTTTGATAGGAGATTTTCGGGAAAAAAACACTCATTTTTTAGATGAATTCAAGTTTGAGGTGATTAGACATAAATCATCTCGCTAATTTTGTAGATGTGCGCAGTGGCACAAAGTCCCTTAAAATTTTAGTATAAAATAATTCGTTGTTGAGTTTAACATACACAGATTTCCTGTTGGGAATTAGTTGTTATAACTCCCGAATTATTGAAATATGAGTGAAATTTTCAACAAAAAAGTATGGAGAGCTTTGTTTTGCAGACTGTCCTTATCTGGAATAACTCATTTATGAGATAAATGAATAATTGAACAAATATATTTTCTACATCAGTGACTATAGAAAAACAAATCAACGAACATAATGTTGAATTCTACTTAAGGTAGAACATGGAAAAATGACTCCCAAAATTTCAAGTATTTTTTCCACGCGAATTTTTGAGATATCCAGCGTCAAACCTTCAATTTTTGTCTTTTTTAAGTTTTCGTCGATGCATATCTCAAAAATTCGCGTGGAAAAAATAGTTGAAATTTTGGGAATCGTTTTCACATGTGCTCAACACATATGATCCAAATTTTAGGTCTTCAGTGCATTCCACCAAGTATAACTCACTGAGGAAATACCTTAAAACTTGAAATTTCATAACCATTCTTTTCCTGAATTCGATTCAGTGTCACTCTTATGAGATTTACTATAATACCTTCTACGAAATTTTCAAAAATTTCAACAGTGCATTTTCTTGAGTCAAGTAAACCTTCTTCGTCACAAGTACTGTTTTCTCTCAGTGTAGTGCTGTTCAAGTAAAATTTCAGGTTGCTTCTGGTAAAATTTCTGCGGGTTGCCGTGGAAATTTCATATAAATACGAGAACAATTTACGTATTGCTCGAGTTTTGACCTAGCTCGCATTATGCACCCCTTTTCCCACACTAGTACTAGAATTTTTCTAAGGAATTTCTCTTCGTGTGGGAGTTTCATTAACTACACAAACGTCTCTCAACATTCTTCCCTAAAATTGCTCATTCTCGATAACGATGACTCATGATTAGAGAATGTTTTCAGATATTTCCTAATCAGCAACACCTCTCGAAGTGCATTTTAAACACTGAATTTGATGAAATGAGAAAAAAAAATTCACTTCATTATTCCCCAAATGTTTGATTACCTGTTGATAGAGTTGGGTAAAGTTGTGGCTGTGGAGCTGGCACAGTGTTAGGTTGGACCACTGTGACGACCGTGGGTGTGTGAACTTCTGGAAGAAAATTCGCATTAAGTCTCGCTCCAGAAAAATACACTGAGAAATTAATGAAAAAAGAATACAAACTAAAACAATAACTCATGGAATGGAAGACAAATGTGTCAAGGGTATTAGATATGTCACTAGTCAGTTGTTGCCAATCATTTTTTATTATACGAACATGTCATGAGATTATATAATTGAGCATACAAAAGATACTTTGTTCATTAAAAAAAATATATTTCAGCGGAATGTTTTATTGTTGTAGGTACGGTAAATAATGCGCAATATAAATGAGGCCTTTATCACTACTTTATCGGCTTTCTTCGTGTTACACTCAATCATTGAATGCGAATAATTATGTTTCACAGTGAAATTTGACCTCTTGAGGTGTCAACTAAGGTTGAGATATAATGTTTTTCATCGTTTTTTTAATGCTTGTAGACTTTAATATATTAATTACCGGTTTGACCGACTACCTCTGCGTTTACATAGGCACATATGTACGTTTGTGACACATTGATTCCCATTGAAGAGGCCCGAAGTAATAAATTCAGTAGTGAAGTGATAAGACGTAACAAAATCAGTCGATTCGTCATATTTTATTGTATTCAAAATTATCCCAATAACGAATGATTCTACGGGAACATGTCGGGCGATATTTCTTGTGGAAAATTTTCTCAGCTACAGAAAACAGTAGTGAAGCGGTAAAATGGTTTAAGCCAATTTCGTCCAGGCGTGGGTTCGATGAACATCTCGGAATTTAAGGGAAATAGAGGAATTTCTCTAAAAAATTTTTTTGTAGAACGAAATGAGAGTTACTAAAGAGGTATTGACGAAAATTTCGCCATTTCTCTTAGATTCGTAGATATTTCTCAAAAACTCGACGAGGAGTTGAGTCGACATAAAGCGTGTTATGGCTTCGCTACTGAAAAGGTCAAATGATCTGACCAAAAATTAATCCAAATTCAAAAACATCAATTCCAAATTGAAATTAATGATCAAATTCCAAACTTTCACTCATGCTAAGAGAACAGATCGTAATTCAGGTAATTACAGTTCTCTCAAACCTGAAATAAATGATTTTGAAAAGAATTATACAATCCGACAAATTCCACGTGGAAATGCAACTTAAGATTATTCCGCACTGATGTTTTTCCGGGTGTTGAATAGAATTTTTAGTTAATTTATAGAGAAATATTGGGAGTATTTAGTTCAAAAATCAGTTCATCGAACGATAGGCCTAAATTTAATCTTTTCACTGATATTGTTTTTCAATTTAATTGGTGTAGGGGTTCTTAACTTTGCGACTCGAAAGAAGTTATTGTAATGACCCCGAAAATCAAAAGTGGAAATTCAATTATATCTCCACGTTTCATGATTCTTTGAATCTTTCTGTGATGTTTTTGAACACATGTCTGTCTGTCTGTGTGTGTGCGCGAAGGTATGTGATGCAAAAATTTTTTGGGATACGATTTCTCATGGATGAACGCATCTTCATGTAACTTAAAACTGATTAGTTTGTAAAGACGATTGCCTCAGCGGTTATTTAATTATTTGCGAAAAAACGTGAAAAAATGTCAAAAATGATGTTTGCGATTTGAATTTTTTTTTTCAATCAATGCGTGTTAATGTAACTTAGAATTGATTAGTTTATGAACATGATCGTCTCAGCGGTTCATTAGTTGAGTCAAAATGAGTTTTCTTTGAAAATTCAACAATTTTATGAACAATAATGGTGGGATTTGATTTTTTTTGTATGATCGACGCATCTATATGTCATATAATTTCGAATGGATGCTGAGCAACATCGTCTCACTCATTTCCTTGTTATTCGGATAGAAATTTCAAAATTTGTTTTTTTTCTAATAAACACAAAAATGGGAATTGGTCGGAAAATTATTGGTTTGACCCGTAATAGGCCAAGTCGATTTAAAAAAAATTGAATTCACATCTTTAACCCCTCACGTACGGGACCTTTCTGATACCAAGTCTACCACACGCGCAATACTCTTCGCATCCCATATTTTCTGAGTATTCCCCTTCCCAATGGCATTAGTCCGATTGTATTATCTGCCATAGTTTCGGAAATATTCAATTTTGAAAAGAGCCGTGCGTTTTTGCATGGGTCGGTACGACATACCGAGCCCTTACGTGAGGGATTAATATTTCTTTCTCCACAGCGATCGCATTTATGAGGAAACACCAACGAAAATCTCCTAATGAAAGTAATTTTATGCAGACGAAAAAGTAAGTTGAAATTTTGTCGGACTGTGTTATCAAAGACGTTTTTCACGAGAGATTTCCCCATCCTTTTAGAAGATCTCTGAATATTCTGAACAAAAATCACTCGCTTAGGAAATGAATGCATGATTAACAAAGATTGAAGGAAGTCAAGTCAAAAAATTTTGAACGACTCATTTTGAAAATGTTAAGAAACTTTTTTGCATCAGATAACATTTTCGATAAAAGAGGAGTTGATATTATCTCTTAGAGTCACTCGCTTTCGAAATGAATTCGAAATTGAGAACAACATAAAATCTGACGGGTTACGTTTAACCACTTTCAAGGAGGACGAGTCTAAAAATATCGTACGATTTTTATTGCAAATATTTCGAAAACTATGGGGAATAGAGGAAAATATTAGAAAATCGTTTTTGTAGAGAACAAAGATACTAACAGAAAGGGTCTTCTGATGTTTCCTCTTACAATCCCTTGTTAACGAAATAAATGCTTAATTAATACATGTAAGAGATTTAACTCATTACGTTTCCTGACTTAATTTCATAATTGAATGTCTTTTATTTATATTCTATTCTATCAATACTCTTTGAAATGAAATGAACGATTCTTTAAAAAATGGAAACAATCATTTGTCTACCGGTAGACAACGACTATTCCTCTCTACCCACAAAAGCATCTTAATCCTATTGGAATGCATCGAAAAAGCTACATAAATCAAATTTCACAATGAGTTATAAAATAGCGTCGTTTCCTATTCTAACAGTAGGAAAGCAAAAAATATTGAATTGAAATAATGTTTATTTTGAGTTGATACTCGATGGAGTGAGGATTCAAGCCATTGGGGGCCCTGAAAAAAATGTCGAATCAGTTCAGTTGCTATGATTGAAATGTAAATGTGTGCGGAATTAATCTGAAGAACACTCAAAGCTTTTACGATACACTGCCAAAAGTATTGTTATTTTTAGGACGAAAAGTGTTGTTGTTTCAAAAGGGAGGTACTTACTTCCGTAGACGGTACCACGGTGACGCCTCCTGTACCATGGGCAACAGGAACAGCAGAGGCAAGAGATGCAGAAGATTATGATTGATACGACAGCGATAACTCCGATTATTGCAGGAATAACAACAATTAATCTGTAAAAAATTAAGATTGAAGAGGAAATATTAGTTAAAGAATAACGGAAAATTTTAATTATACAATTAGAAAAATTTATTCTTAAAATTTGAAGTAAACAATGCTGATTTTTTTAACAACGACTAATTTACATGGAATTGCGATATGTTGTTGTTATCGACGAATCAGGTTGGTAGCCAAGTGGTAAAATGGTTTAAGTCAATTTAGCCCTTAGCTGAGTTTCGAATTACTTTTACCATTGGTCGAATTACTTCATCAACCAATAATTGAGAAATTTGAATTACCGATTATTATATGATTTTTCAAATTTCAATGAAGATAAGTAAATCTTAATTATTGTAAGGAGCGACTTTTCATAATATTACTAAAGGAATGATTCATGCCGATCTATATTATCAGTTAAATGTCGGTTTCGACATGAAGAAAATTGGACCGCCGCAAGGCGGGCCACCAAACACACTAGTACCCTCAAAATCTTTTGGAATTTCTGAACTTAGGAAATATTCATAGGTTCAACTGAATAAGATTCCATACTAGGGTATTATAATGTTGTCCAAAGAAGATAAATATGACATTGCCCCTGATCAACCATTCTTTTCAGAATAAATACGTGAACTGATTCAAACCCTCGATGATTCATCCTATCTAAATTTTTTGTTTCGACTATGAAATTTTTTTCATTGAAGTTCTTTGATAATTTCCTTTGACTGGTTTGCGAAAATAAGTATTCTCAAAATAATCTCAAAATCTATTTGCTCTGGATTTATCGCAATGGTAAACATTACCCCCTCTCGAAAACTCCCCGACACCATTATATTAGTATCAAAACCCCAGATATTCATTCATAAAAACTCAAACTATTTTCAATGGTGCATCTATCGTGAGTACCAATTAAACTTTGTACCCCGTCTTGAGTGCGAACTCCTCGGCATTACAGCAGTAAAAATTCTCTTTCCCGATACAACAGTACTCTTTGTCACTGCTGTCGAGTATTCCGGGACAGTGGGCTAGAGCCTTCTCGAAGATATTCGAGCTCGTACCAAAATTGCAGTCCATTCCTGAAAAAAGATAAACAAAATTGAAATTTCTTCACCTTGAATTTTAACAGTAAAATTTTTTTTGATCAATTTTTTGTTCAATCCTTAAAAAAACAAACGTCCATCTACTGGGCCTTTTTTAGGCGTCCATCTACTGGGCAGTTTACCCTAGAAAGAAACGTTCGAACAACAAATCTCGAATTTTGAAGCAATGACCTTGTTCAATTCTGTAATAAAACAGTCTCATACGCAATCATCAGTATCTTGAGATTGGCTGAGGAAAATTCAAATTTTTTTTCATATTGGAAATGGGTGACTTTAAGAAAAATAAGTCAGGATAAGTAAAAAAAAACATTATTAATACTTTATGCTTCGGAAGACACATGCACACACTTCGAACTCCTCGGAGGAACTATATAACTCTAGAAACAAAGATCGCAAAAGTCTAAGGCTCTGTCACATGGACCCTTGAATGCCTCTATTCATCCCAATAAGGTTTAGTCTTAAAAACCCAAATGCATAAACGTCACGCCTCACTCTTCTCAGAATTTCAAAGCAGAACAATGTTCTCTCAAATATTATTATAAACACATAAAGAAATATCAAATTAATTTTTGCCTAAGCTCCAACTTTTTTCATTTTAAAGATATTTTCTCTGGCTTTGAAATGAAGTCTGATGCGTTCAAATCATACTATTTGATCACGAAATATTGATGATTCGGGGAGGTTTTTGTCACCTTACTATCCCCTCCCTATTCACCAAAAACGGATAAATGTGGGATCTATTTTCATAATATGAAGTGCTCTCTTTGTCATCACAGGACAAGAGACTGACCATCAAATCTCGCGATAATGAATCTCATTCGTTACGACCGGATGCGACGTGTTCCATCCACCTGATTTTTGCCCGTTTTTTCTCGTAAACGAATGACGCACGCATTCGGCGTTGCTACTGTTATACAGGCGTTTCTCGGAACACGAAACAATATGCAATGATCCCGGGATCTCTGGCTTCATCACGCGTATCACCACCCCTCCCCAATAGTTTAATGCATCCAAAACATTCAGGACATGTTTGTTTTGATTTGTAGGACTTACCTTGTACTGCTACTACACCCAATGCAATTAGAAGAACTAACACTGATCGCGGCATTTTTTTTTGTGCGGTTTATTTCAATGGAAGTCACTCGGTGGTTTGGCTTGGGTTGCTTTAACGCTTGGTGGAAGAGTGGAAATGGAAGTGAATTCGAAGCAGCGAATTTGTTACGCAGGAACAATCACTCTCGACTGAATCATGCAAGGGGACGAAACCACTGAGTTTTCACTTTGTATATTTTTCTTATCGACTGAGGGTTCGACGTAAGTGGAGAATAGGGAACTAGCTTACCTACAGGAGGTCTCACAAACAGTCAATCAATGTAACAAGTTTACAAGTAACCGAAATGTTTACAAGTAACCGAAAAAACTTTTTGTTTACTTTTCGTTTACGAGTGAACAAAAAAATACTTTTCGACACGAGGTGAACGTAGCAGCAATGTCAAAATAGCATATTTCGCCGAAGGCTAGTGATATAATCGCAGGAGTCAAAAAATACTTTTCCCATGAGTATCAAACGATATTTTTATTTATTTTATTTAGTTATTTATTTGTTTATTCACAATGTGTGGAAAGGGGACGTTTTAGGCACGCAAAGTGTGATAATTCGATATTCAACTATATACTTATTCTTTCTATTTTTTATGCCGTCATCTCGTTAGTGATGAATTCTACGGAAAACTTTAAGACGATTTTTCTTCTAGCCAACGAAATTTTTAAAAAAAGTTTTCAACTTACCATGAGAACAATTCTGTGTCGGATGGAGTCATCAAAGTAGTGAAGTGTTAAAAACAACTTGAATGAATTTCAATTCGAATTCAGTACTTCGAAATTACTTTTTACTGCTTTAATATTATTTTATAAAAGACTTCCTTACGAAAATTTTGACATTTTCCACAAATTTCAAGGTATTCATAAAAAAATTACAAACTCCAACTATTTTACCACATCTTGACTAAAATAGTGATGATGAGTATTTCCCAGAGATGCCACTACCATCTTAGGGTTTATGCGAGCATGCTCCTATGGCTCCTATATACTCGGGGGTGTTCAGTCATTATTCCCCCCTTCTCGGTTGTATTTACGTTTTCTCCAAATAAACAATCGAACCGTTTGTTGTTTTTGGTTAATAAAGCATTGGGAATGATATTGAGTTAATAATCCAGATTTTTTGTGATTATTATGGAGGTGACACGTGAAAGTAAGTAAAAAACTGAATTTTTGCGGGAATGAAATATTTTTTGAGGTTGTGTTTCCGTTTATTATGCAGTTTACACAACAAGTAGTAATGTGAATGAATATTTTTCAAGATTTCCAAGAGGTTCTTCAAGAACTTGATCATGTTCTCGGAAAAGCTACGTTCCTGACGATCGATGGAGAATTCACTGGGCTGAATTCTGGACCGGAGGCTAAGGCTTTCGATACACCTGCTCAGTACTACCTGAAGTTGAGGTCCGGCTCCATGGATTTTCTACTTGTGCAGTTTGGACTCTCTGTGTTTACTCATGATACTGTAACGAACAAGTGAGTATTTCCAACAATAAGTATTTCAACAATACAACTCGGCTGAAATAATTTAATAGAAAAGCCTAGCGAATTCGCTAGGCAATTCTACTGCATTTCTATTGAACTTTCTGTTAGCATTTGGCCGATTCTATTGAAATGTTTAATAGAAAATATTCTATTGGTAGAGTCAAAAGAATTAAATTTTTTTATACAATTTATTTTATTCAGATATTTTCTGGAGGATTTCCTCGGCTCAAATTTTCTAAATTTTTTGGTTTGATTTTCTTGATGAGAAGAAACGAAAAATAGAATTAAATATTAGATTCGATTAGATAGAATAGATAGATTGGATTAGAATTTTAGTTTTTTAGAAATTTCTTTACGTTTTTGGTATCCCATCCTAATACTCTAAAAACAATTGTACCTTGCCCTCAATTGATTTTTTTTAACAATGTCCCAATTTTCGCTCGGTTTCATCAGAAATTTTGAGCCGAGTGTTTCCGGAGAGGACCTCGTGCACTGAGAGAAAAACGAACACATTCTCAAACAAGTCTTGTTTGGGCCAATAAAATCTTTCATTGAAAATTACCAAAAAAATACTTGTTTTGCTTCAATTTGAAAGTCTCAAACATGAATAATTACTCTGCTTTCCAATCTCGGTGCAGGCTTCGCATATTTGGTACAAGTAAGATGAGACAGGCCTTTTGATTTTAAATAAACAATTCGAATAAATTAATAAATTTGAATGCAAAATATAAATTGGCAGCAAAAATCCATACTTTAGGGCATGAATCCACAGTGACGACCCAATCACGTTGGATCGCCGTCTCAGATGTCGGCGAAATTCAGATTAGAGTGCGTGAATGATAAATTAAACAACTCAAAATTCCTAAATATAATAAATTAATTAATGTTCGACGAATAAATGCAAATAATTGCCTAGAGCAGCTCGCGAGATCCCCGAGAACAGGGGAAATTGTGTCGACGTGAAGGGAAAAACATTAAAATGAAATTTCATGGACAGTTGACTACTAATTTTCAGGACAGAACCACTAAATGCTATTGAAGGGGATAAAGTCATAAAATTTCAGATTTCACTGAAAATTCAATAAAATTTCAAAATTTTGAGAAGCATGATGATGACAATTCTTCAAGTTATTTCAATTTTCAACGAAAACATCCATATTCAGTGGAAAATTACCCTGATTTTTCAAATAATTGAAAATTCAAGAATATATTTATCGCAATTTTACGATTTTCTCTCAATTTTCAGAGAATGATTGAACTAAAATTGACAGTTCTGATTGATTTTTCCCCGAGATTCCGAATTTTCAATGATGACATTCCTTGAAATTTAAATTGAACTTAAATGTCACAGAAATTTCCGAAAAATAGACTTGAAATTCCAGCCAAAAATGTGCAACAGTATAGGAATCACTGGGCTAGTACTTGAAAATTGAGGGGCATCTATATGGATGGAAAGTGACGGTCCGAATTTATTCCACGCTTATGACCAATGATCATTTTTTTCTGACCATATGATCAGATTTTCGACGCGGTAATTACTGGTCATGACGGTGGTCATTGCCGGCCATTTGGCCGGTTATTTTTGTCACTCACATATCTATTTTTGAGTCGTAGAATCGGGATTTTATTGTTGAATTGTGCTGAACTCATGCATTTAAACGTTAGAACCAAATTAAGAATTTCCATGTCCACAGTTTTAGAATTTCCAGCTTCAGAACAAACACATTTGTAAAAAATTATCAGTTTGGCTCATTGTCATATCTCTGTTAACAAAAGAAGGTGAAGATTTGTTTGTCCGCAGAGCGGATAATATATTATACGAGCGAGCGGATTCCTCCTTGCTAAAGAAAGAAATTATATCTGAGTGTCAATGAAAATTACCATGAGTTGAGCATAAATGGAGGAATATTTTACTTGCAAATTCTTTTATTGTGCAGCTCACTGTTCTGAGGCGATGCTATTGAAGAAATTTATTTACTTCTAATTTGCGAATGCGTGACTTTGGCGCAGTCCAACAATCGATTTCTCATTCTATGGTCCAACAAACACAAAGGGAAGGAACTATAGGAAATCCTGGGGATGGCTTGTCCACATACATTACTAGCAAAGGTTTTCGAATTTTCATTTATTCTGATTTGAAAAATTTGTTCCAGGTACAATCAGAGGACGTACAACTTTTACGTTTTTCCACGTCCTTTGAACAGAACAGCTCCAGATTGTCGCTTCATGTGTCAAGCGTCGTGTATAGCATTTTTAGCTAGTCAGGGATTTGATTTTAACAAATTATTCACGAAGGGGATTCCTTATTTAGCGACGTCAGAGGAGGAGAAGTTGATGAAACGATATGAAGAGAAGCAGAAGATCAGGGAGGAGGGGCTGGATATGATTCCGATATCGGAGGAAGACAAGCCTCAGATCACAGAAATATGGTACATTATAATATTAGTTAAGATAGCATTATTTACGAGGGAACCAAAATGAAGTTTCAAATTCTTCGGTCAATGAAAATAGACACCGAATGACTCTTGATATCTCATGAGGTACCTAGAAAAGTAAGAAAAATTTTACACTGAACCCGTTCTACCCTGTACACCTGTAAAATCATGAATGTTCAGCATCATTAAAATTATATTTTGCACAGAATTACTATTTTTTAACTATTCGTTGTTTATAAATAAATAATTGAAAATGTTTAAACTTTTGGAAAACTTATTTTTTAAGCACGAAATCGATTTCTGCTAAAATGATTTTTATGGTGGAAAATTGATTGGTTATAAATTATTTCCAAAAAATGCTCGTAATTTTAAAAAATTGCCGTATTTCAATTATTATTTTATCAATCTTTCTCCAAAAGTAAACTTTCTATCTTTTTCCGATTTTTAAAATGTTTTCTAACGGTTCAATATCGAGATTCAAATTCAGACTTGCAAAGTCTAAATAATAAAATCATTATAAAATGTCCGGAAATTTAGGGTTTTCAGATGTGGCCCAAATGTAAGCTCTGATGTTCGACTGCAATCAAAATTAGAAAATCGAAAAATTCTGTCTGAGGCATTTCCTACACCCTATGTGAGGCCGGAGGGTTAACAAAATTGGTCATTGTGGTTACGCCGAATGACAAATTTTTCATAACTCAACCCAAACAAATTGATCTTTATCTAATTCCCATTTTTTTTCCTCTACCCAGTCAGAGAATCGATGAATTCCTCGAATCTGAAGCAGAAGAGCTCCTGATCGAACGATGTAACGGCTACATAAGGAGATTAGCGCACCAAGAAGTCAGGCAAAGGTGGCCGAAGAAAATTCGTCTGGAGAGCAGAGTGGAGGGAGGATCTCAAAACTTGATGGTGTACAAGATGGGATCGAAGGAAGAAGAAGAGAAGAAACAGAAGGAACGGCAGGAAAAGGAACGAATGGAGATGAAGGAAGCTGTTGGACTCAGTGCATTACTCAGAAAAATTGCAGACTCAGTAAGTATTGTTCGGTTTGTTAAGCCCAAATGAAAAGCACAGGAGGGAATACCTTCGGAAGGAATAGGTTCAGAGACCAATGTCCAATGAGTGATTTATAAGACGTTCTGAATACATTCCTTTGACTTTATATTATACACACTGATTTGTTTTTTTTTTCAAATTGATGATAAATTATTGCCAATTCTTTTTCGTGTTTTATATTTTTCGTCTATTATTCTCTAGGAGGTAAATGATACAGTTTCTGATCAGAAGTAGTATCTGATCATCTGACTGCACTTTTGGAGTTTCTATCAGTTTTTTTTTTAATTTATCGATGAATTTGTTTCTTTTTGTTTAACCAAGCTTTCATTTAAAAATAAAACAGTCAGTATTTACAATATTTACAAAAATTAGTTTAAAAAAGTTGTATATTTTATAGAATGTGTAAACTTTGGCCGGGAGCGGTTCTCGAGTTTATTAAATATGTCAAAATTAATTATGATAGTTTTGGTAAAATTGTATTTGTTATCAACCGCGGAAAGAATGGTATTCCTACTCTGATCCTCAGTCGGAATCATGTGGTTAATATTCCCAGAAACATGCAAAGATAAATAACGAAACCAGTAGGCGGAAAAAATAGACCAGGAAAAAATAACCCACACACCCAAAACGAAGTGTGCGTAAGACGACGTTTCCCAAACAGTGTTATGAAAAAATTGTTTACTGCTTACGAACAGCCGTGGTATACCCGACTTTGAATGGAGAGAATAATGAAAATAATCTCTACGCAACGTCTTATTCCTCATAATTTCATCACAGACTTAATTTCACTGCAAGATAATTTTTTTCTTTATTCAGGGAAAATTGATAGTTGGACACAATATGCTTCTGGATCTCTGTCACATAGTTCACCAGTTCTTCGGACCCCTTCCAGAGAGTTATTCAGAGTTCAAATCACTCATCCATGGGTTATTTCCAAAATTAATAGATACGAAGGTCTTTTCATCTCTTCCACCATTCAAAGACCTCATTCCATCATCTATACTCAATCACATGCTGGATACAGTGAAGAAAGATCCGTTCTCAATCCCTGAAATTACCTCGATAGAAAACAGAAGCTATATGACGAATCAAGAGGTTTACCACGAGGCTGGATTCGACGCTTATGTCACTGGATTGTGTTTTGTGGCTATGGCGAATTATCTGGGTTCTCAACAGAGTACAAAAGTAGACACTGTACTCCCAGATTCATCTTTGCTTGGTCCTTTTCTCAATAAGTGAGTACAAATTCATCCAGTAGAATTGACGAAGGTAATACTAAAAATCCGTGACCACAAAGCGCATTAATTTGAATAATTTCACTAGGTTGCGATTTCATGAATTTAAGACCAATGATCGGCATCAATCATTACTTCAGTAATATTATGAGAATTCTTTCCTTAAAATAACTGAATTTATTCATTTATCATTGGAATTTAGAAAATAGTAAAGTAATTGATAATCCAAATTTTCAAATAACTATTAAGGCCCGGTATTACTATCTTTCGAACGTTATCTGGATTTTTTTTATCTTTCGTAATTCAAAATTGTCAATTGAGTGGTACATCATGTAGAAATTCTCAAAAATTATGATAGAATGATAAAAAACGGGGGTCAAAAATCCAGGGTCAGAAACTAAGGGTCGCTAGGGTCAAAATAAGGGTCACGAAGGTTATAATGAGGGTTACAAGGGTCAGATTAAGGATCACAAAGGTCAAAATAAGGGTCTCAATGTCTCTCTATATTGTAAAAATCCAAATTGACTTCTGGTGATGCAAATTTGGTGTTCGAAATAAGACTCCAAAATTAAGGGTTAGAAATGAACGGTCAAAATAAGGGTCACAAGGGGTATAAAGAGGGTCATAAGGGTCATAAGGGTCATATAGGAGGTGGCGAGCGGAGCGAGCAGGGGGCGTAGCCCCCTAGTATTCAATAATAACAATTAACCAAATCTAAGGCGTAACATAAATAATCAAGATATTCCAAATTAAATTCAAAAGTGCATTCTGAGGCATTCATATCAAGCCTCATCAGTAGTTAGCATTACCCAGGCTTCGTGACGGGAATGGAACGGGCATGAGTCTCACAAAGCTCCATTATTTAAAAAATTTCATAATATATTATGGCGTGGTCGCTTGATTTTAGTATTACCTCGACACAAACCTCGAACCTGATAATTATGAAACATAACTGCAAATTGAATAGTTACACGTAATAATTAATTATGGAGTAGTTCTATCATTTTTGCTTCCGACTGCAAGCTTTCTAATCGTTCAAATTTACGTTCTGGATTTTTTGTGTTACATCGACCCATTATAATCCAAAAAGTTCGAAAATGCAATTTTTAGACGGTATCCGTATGTATGTGTGTATGTATGTATGTGATAATGTTTTTCTTTAGTTGTTCATTAATAAATTGATAGAATTTAAAAAAAAATTCCCCAAATCTAGATATTGTTGAGGTCTTTCCATCGACATTAATTAAAATTCAGTTTATTTAATGATTTTTCAAATTTTTGAATTTTTCTAAAAATTGGTTATCCTACGAAAACTAAAACAAGCAGGGGACAGTGAACATATGACAGCGCGCCATGTGATAGTGGACATGTCACTGAGTGATGTCTTATTTTTTTTCGCCATCGATACATTGATGGATGGCTTCCGAATGGTTTGAAATATTACAAAAGTTTATAGCTTCGCAACACTAACTAGCAGCAAAAATTTCAGATGGTTACTGTCACCTCCATGGGTGCTATCAAAATTCCAATGTTTCGAATACTTCGTATGAGTCGGTATACATATTTTCTGTCTAAATTTCAAGTTGATATCTCGATTTTTGCACAAGCTAGAGTGTTTACAAAGTTTTTTATGAAAACACGGAAAAACCGGAATATCTCGAAAACTTTGTATGAACGGGTATATATGTTTTGATTAATTTAGATAGGAGGCATCGAAACGAATATTTTGAAAACAAAAAAATCGGTTCACTAGTTTTGAAGATGTTTGCGGAAAACGATTTAAAAACAAATCGTTTCTTCTCCAAAACTATTAGATCGATCGGGAGGAAATTTTGCACAGAGTCAGTCCTCATTAAGACTTATAATCTGACAAAATTTAAGATTTTTTGGAACTACGTTAGCCAGTTAATTACTCAATTTTCCAAAAAATGACCACCGGGAAGGTGGACGTGGTCACAGATAGACATGGTCGCCAAACTTAGTATTTTTACGTCTCAGAACATTCTACATCATTTCCAATTAAAATTAGAGAATGTAAAAATCGAAGGATTGCAATGGTTCCATTCGGACAGGGAAACTGATGAGTAACTTTTATAATTATGGAGTCCTAAAAATAATGAAAAAAACTCCTCCACATTTCACAGGTGATTTTTTGTTCGCTTATTAATAATCATTACTTCAAAAATTTTTCTAAAATTTTAGAAAACTTTTTTATAGCTTTTTTCATAGCAAATGGAAGTGGAAAAAGTATTTATTTTAAGAATGATGCGTTTCAAGAGATATTTTCTCCCGTAATCGTTGATTCACATGAACGGTAGAACTCCGGGCACTGTATAATAGTAATGACGTGTCCAAACTTTTTTGGTTAAATAAAATGATAATGAGGGATAGAAAGGCCATTTTAAGATTCGACACATGCAAAGGAATCCGATACAATTTAAGGGAAAATATTAACAGAACTTTGGTGGAACATTTTATTGTCAATTACCAAAATAATTTGATATTTTTTCTTAAACATCAATATATAATAATAACATAATGAGGTGTGGATGTTTGAAGTGAAACTGCTCCACTTAAAAATTTAATCCTAGTATTGGAGACATTGAGAAAAGCGATCTCAAGAATTTTTTTTGTGTTTCAGATTACTGATATTGAGACTGAAGGACTTTCCTTACATTAATCTAGTGGGGCCAGATCGTAAGTAAAAGAGAAAACAATGTTTTTTTTTTGAGTATATTTTGTTTATCATTCGCACGTGTTGAATTAATTCAATTGCTCATTCTTACAGCAAATCCCAGCAGAGATCATGTGTTCCATGTGACATTCCCGAAAAATTGGAAGCTTAATAATTTATCTCAAACTTTCAATCCTTGGGGTGAGTATCAATCGACATTTTTTAGTAAAAAAAAATGCTGTCAATCCTCTGTCTATAAAAAAATGCCGGAGTTTCTGAGATACTCAAATCCCATATGAAGATTTCTTGATAATTTCCTTCAATTTTTCAAGTTATGTTTGAACATCATTTCGAAAGACTTTTTTCATAGCTGAAACAATGTATGATAAGAAGAGTAATTTTCGAATGTCTCCCAGAAATGGATTATTCACCATTACACTGATACAACGAGATACCTTAGCTTCAAACCAAATAAATTGGTTTGATGCAACAATTTTTTCTATTGCCTAAAATTATGAAATATGACAGTTAGATGGACAATACTGAATAGGATTTTTTTATTTTGAAAATAAAAAAAATTGAGCCAATTGGGGGATCCATTATGAAGTCATAATGCAAATATTTTCAAACTCATCTCAAACTTTTCAAATAAAAAAATGCGCACCTAATATTCCTTACATTACATTATATTTGAATATGCAGCAATAAAAATTTTCATGTAAAAAAACAAAATATCGGGAGTCCTAAAAGAAGGCTTTGGTGAAATTTTCATAAATATTCTTTGTGTAAGACTCATTCTGCTCCACAAGAAAGTTATTTATGAAAATACCCCTGTTTTCCTTAGATTTGAAGCTATTTCCCGGAAAACTCACCCGCAAAATGAATTGAAACACCGCTTTTTAGCTCTGCGCTACTAAAATCTATATTATCCATTGAATATTCTTAAAAAATAGTTTCGTGAGATTGCTACACTTTCCCTCTACAACGTATAATAATACCTGACAACCACTCCACGGCTCCATTACTATTACCATAAAAAAAAATTCTTCATTTCATCGAAGAAAAAACCTATAATTCCATTTAATTTTCTGTCAGGTGGTGTGTATGTATCCTGGCTATCAGATACAACAGCCTACGTGGGTTTAAATCGTCGTGAACAGGCCCCCGGTCTCAGGAAGAAAGTCAAGAAAAACGGTCACCTCGGTGACTGTCAGATTCAAACGTACACGAGGCATCAGGCATCAACCGAGTCAATCAAAGATAATAATACAGAGGTCGATCGTAAACGGAAACAACCACCAACAGAGTAAGTCAATCAATCTGAATTTTATTAATGTAAGTACTTCAATAGAGAAAGACAACCTCATCTTCTCCCCTCTCGCCTCTTCACGATCAGCTGTAATTTATCTATTCCACTTTTTGTAGTCGAGGAAATTTCCCATCGAAAGTGGTTCTCGATAATTGATGTTGGGAACGATTAATCCCAAAATGATAATCCTCTCGGGGTTTCTTTTGAACTCACGTAGTAGCAAAACAATGCAATAATCAAATGCATTATTTAGGTCGACCTAAATTGTGTGTAAAATGCTCATTAATTATGCATTAATATCGTGAATAAACTGCGGAAAGTCTTAATTTCTCTGTTTCTAAACGGAGATCTCAAGAATTGAAGAGGATCACAAGCGCTCCACTCTGCCTCACACTCCCCTATTGAATTATTTGCTCAAATACTGCATTTACTATAAATTTTTTGGAGTTATCAATTCCAAAAATCTGATCTTTGCAGAGCAGTATTACTAAATTATTACTGCACGCCGAAGTGATCTTTATGCAGTTAGTTTTATTTTAGGGTGAGTAGAATTGAGATGAGAATCCGCTACGAATGAGGAGACTGAGAGATGTGGAGACTTTGAAAGAATCACTCATTTCAACACTTACTGTGCGATATATTTTAACAGTTTTTACAATAGAGATGTTCCTTTAATAAGGCAACTTCTTGGTACTTGATATTCGAAATTGATACTGAAATTTGAACATTAAGTATGTCCTTATATAGGGATTATTTAGCTGGAGGGGCTGAGGGCGGACTTAGTGGAACTAGAAATCGTATTTTTGAGTTATTGGTTGAAAAATTTGTCAGGTGGGTGGGCCTTAATTGCGATTGGTAAAGATTTTGGAAAATGAAAAATATTGGAGAGGGAAAAGCTGACCCATAATTACAATTTTATCCCCATACCTGGATTTATGGATATTACTTTTGAATCGTGAAGGAGAGGAGCTGTAATATGCATTAGTGAACACAAGGGTCATTTGTGTGGGGCAATAAGATTATTAGAAATATTTGGTTTTGTTAAGATGTTGATTATCACAATTGTGGGAGGGTCAAGGTGTCGTAATTTTCCTGAACATTGACTAGAAAATGAGGCATGATGAAATTTACGAAAATGTGGAATGATGAATTTTACAATGAGAATAGAAATGGGACTGCTGATACACTGTCATTAGTGCAATCACAGGAATCAGAAAAGTGGTTTTTGGCCGGGTGACCAACATAATTTTTCTTTACAATGTCCGTAAATGGCGTGTGACGGACACGATGTGTCCGCAAAGAGACATTCTACGGACAGTATGATGAAAAAATAATTTAGAGAGAGATGTACTGAGGATTAAAAGTACAATAAGTTCATGGGTCTCAAAAATCGGGGAAAGTACACGCTAGCAGACATATTAAACATGGGGCTGAGGGGTTGAATGAGAGAGAAAAATTTACAATAAAAAAAAAATATTTTACCGTGTTTGATACATAACACCTATCTATCACGAATCATTTCGCATAGCTTGAAGAATTTTCTATATACAAAAATCACCTCTCAACGATTTCCTACGAAATCATCCTTCAACGCAATGACTTCCTGATTGCGCAGATGTATTTTACCCACTTGACGAAATTGTGTTCTGTTCATTTTGGCCATTACCACCAAAGGCTTGATCGAACGATCGGTCTGAATTTTATTAATGAAAGTTAATCAGATGGAAGGTCAAGAGACAGTGCAGAATAAATTACGACGTTGATTAAATTGTCGTAAGTACTTATGATAATTTAATCAACGTCGTAATTTATTCTCCAATATCCCTTGACCTTCCACCAAATTAATAACGCCATGGAATTTATTTATCGGTTAATGAAAGTACATGAAGAGACAGCAACTTGTTCCTTTCCCCCTCTATCCCATTTCTTTGTATTTTTTGAATTTCATTGATGAGAGGATTCGAATATGTAGATAAAAGCCTCAGCCTCTCTCCTTCCACCTCTTAACCCGTCATGATTAGCTGTAATTCTAATTTAATTTTTTGCAGCCAACAAATTTTCTCATTGAAAATGGCACGTAATAATTGATTTTGGTAATGGTCAATAGCAAAATAATAATTTCTTTTCCGTACTGACCTTCACTTTTCCTCGTTCGGGGATTGGTACTGGCCCTTCCCCAAACTGGTAAAAGTGAAAATCACTACGGAAAAATTTCGTTTACGACTAGTGTCATGGGGTGTTTTTTATTTGCGTGCTTGGCTAGTCCTCGTACGCCAAATCTACAGGAATAAAAAACCCCATGGCAATCGCCCTGAAATATATTATTAATATTTTTATTAAAATTATTCATTGACATGACATGAACGTGACATCTCCACTGGTTACGCATTTACCTTGGAAATGAGTGATCTGTCGCGGAATTTTGCGGAATATTTCTCACATTACTATTCTTGGGAAAGTTTTTATAAAAATAATCAATATAATTATTCATTTATAAAAAAATACCTACTGCGTGCACCTCTTACAGAGGGGAGTTCGTAAAAACAAAAATTCGGAAGTGCCGATATTACATAGTACAACAGTTTCATAAATATAGCTATAAAAATAATCTCGTGACAAACTTCTCATGTCATCACCTTCCAGCGAGATAATTTCATGGCTACGCAGATGAGTTGAATCGACTCGAAAAAATTAACTTTAGTTAATTTTGTTAAAGCGGCAATTACGAACAGCGACGTAAATTGATCGCTCGGAATTTGATTAACGAAAGTACATAAGCAGAAAGAACCAATCCCCCTCCCATGTTTTCCCATTTTTTCCCTTCTAAGCAAATTGGCAAGGAAAATTGTTCAGACAACTAGCCTTTACTTGTCCGAATGTCTCAGTTGAGAATCGCGATAATAAGTTCACCACTATTTGCTAACCTGGGGTTATATACCTTCTTATTTCCTGTACATGTACCAGCATTTGCATAGTAGAAACCGCAAGGAGTTAATGCCTTACTCTTGCTCGTTACAAGTGAATTTTTATTTCAAATCATTTTTATCTCTTTGAATATTTAAGTTCAGTGATGGTAAAAATGAGATTTTTATGAATTTCGATTTAGTGGTCAAATGGCCACCAACACATTTACTTAGGTTTAACAGAAATTGAACTGTCGACACTAGTGTAGCTGCAAGCGACTTCTTTATGATGTTGCTGAAGCGGTTTGTTAGATCTCTTCTTTAGATATTCAGGGTACTAGCTAACACTTGTACTGACATTTTTGCTCAAGTTTATTCTCCATTTATTTCTTTGGGAAAGGTGAGAAAAATGAAGCCTGGGGGAGGGGGATAAATAATACAATGATCTGTTTATTTTTATTTATTCATTTATTTCAAATTTTGAATTGTTCAGAAGATTTTTTTTAATTATCATAGATGAAAAAATTGAATGATGTAGATATCCTCCAAGCAAGCCTTAAAATGCTATATATTTTTTTTTAAAGTTATGTGAAATCAGAATTTTTAGGTTGGACGAGATGAGTGATTCAAAAAAAAAATATAATTCGATAAACATCAATTTTGTCAAAAATGGCCAAAAGAATTTTTTTATTTAAATTATCAGGGCATGGTGCGAAAAATTAGAAAAAAATATATGTTATATCGTAGGTATCGAAGAATTGCCGGTACAATGGCGTTCCCTAATCTTTAGTAGGTCGATAGATATCAAGTTTTTTATGGGGCTCGGCTGGCTAGAGCGAAGCTGTCAGCGTGCTGCGTTGAGTGAACTTGGTACTATCTGATTGTAAGATTAATCTGAACGAAAGGCAGTTCCGTACGTAGGCACTACTCCCTTACTTTACCTCCCTAGGTTAGAAGTATACTATCTTTGAGTAAAAAATCTGACCACCAAAGGAATTATCTATGTTTTCAAGAAATTTTGAATGGATCCAATATTTTTTTGAGGGGAAAGCATTCATTTAGCTTGTCGCGAATGAGATTTTATATTTTGACACAATCTCTCAAAGCTGAACAATGTCGTACATCATCATAGAACTGCGACTCAAAAATTTAACATGTAACATTCTTTCATTCTGCAGCCAAATGGGATCGATGAATTCTAAACATCTGCAAATGCTCCGCCTTGGATGATTTTGATAGGCGTATCAACAATGGATACAAAACCAGTCTGTATTCCCAATCCATATAGCGCGCCATTCTCAAGACGCTCCAGCGGATTGCTAGATATATCGAGCTCCTGCAGATTTCCCAGATTCTTAGCTGCGCCCTTCTTGATGTTTGTTATTTTGTTCCCCCTCAACCTAAGGGTCAATAAATGCGGCATACCAGAAAATGAATCTCCGTCAATTGTTGTAAATTGATTATTTTCCAAATAAAGACTCGTAAGCATAGATGCATTGAACGCACCCGGTGGAATTGTGGAAATTTTGTTATCTTGTAGAAACAGATTCAACACTGCCACATCTGTGAAACTTCCTTCTTCAATAGTATCGATCTCATTTTCATAGAGATATATAAAATATCCCAGTTTTTCCTTCAAATCCGAGAAAGAATCTTTGGCGATTTTTTTAATTTTGTTGTTATTGAGGTAAATTGATTTTACCACGTTCAAGCCCCTGAAAGATCCGGAATTCACCTCGGCGATGCGGTTGAAATCTAGGTGAAGAGTGACCAATTTTTCTTGGTCTTCGAATGTTCCAGGATGAATTTCTCGCAATTGATTGTAGGAAAAATCAATAGTATTTACTTTCTTCAGACCTCGAAGAGCATTCACTGGTAGATCGGTCATATTATTATATGAAAGATTGATATAAAGGAGATTCTTTAAATTCTTCATGGAGTCATCAGGAATTTCGACAATTGCATTTTCACTAGCTGTCAAAACTTGAAGGGTAGATGGCAACGTTTTAGCGAAAAATAGACTCTTCAAACGGTTTCCTGAGGCAGCTAGATTTGTCAGTGTTGTTTTTTCTAGAGCCCCTTCCTCAATTGTAGAAATAAAGTTGTATGCGATGACAAGAGTCTTCAGATGCTGGTTCTCGATAACGTTTTTCTTAATAGTTTGGATTTTGTTGTTCCTGAGATAAACTTCAGTCAACCCCTTTGATAAGTCGTTCAGCAACTCCGGTGTGATCTCAGTTATGTCGTTGTTGCTGAGGTCGATTGAAGTGAAAGGAAATGCTGACAATTTGTACCAGCCTTTTTGGAATTTTTTAAGGCCTAAACCTGAAAGACTTAACTCCCGTTCTTCGTGGTTGACAACGGCAGATGTGCAATCACCAAGTGCGTCATCCTTCTTCAGTTCCTCAACTGAATTCACGATGCCATCAATCGTTTTACAGATTTTTACTAGTATATTGGCATCCAACACTGGGGGAATTTCAGTTGTTGCAGGCTCCTCTGGTAGCTCAGTCCGACGCGGCGGTTCCATCCTTTTCATATATGGCTCGCGACTAGCTGGATCCATGAAAACACGTGTTGAAATACTGTATAATGCATTCCCTTCTGCTATGATGTCCACAGAGTTTGTGAGCCCATAAAAAACTCCATCTTCTAAATGTCTCAACGAGTTATTTGAGACATTGAGACCTTTTAATTTGTCTAATCCTTCAAAAGTATTTTTTTCCAATTGAGAAATTTTATTGTCAGCCAGCGACAAAGTTTCTAGTTGAGTCATTTTGGAGAAAATCGAAGCCGGAAGATCCTCGAGTTCATTATTATTGAGATTCAATCTTTGTACTTCTGATAAATTATCAAAGGCTTTTCCCTCAATTTTTTTCAGCTTCAGACCGGACAGGTCAAGATGGAGTGAGTCACCTGTAGCTTTTATGCTCCGTAGAATTCCATCGTCAATGTCCAAGAGATAGTTCCCATGTTGAGTTTCCTTTGCTGCTATATAATCCACAGAGAAGGCTCCGAGGAGGAGGATTATATGCCACATCTCTGCCGATTCAATTCGCTAAAGAAATCTGAAAGTTTTTGTATAAGATTACTTTGGAGATTGGATGCATCAAGTTCGATAAATGATGAGAAAATTGGGTACCAGCGCCGCAAATGTTGTTATGAATGAATGTTTCTATGTTTGTAATCAATTGGGCATTTTTTGAAACTTCTCTGTATAAAAAAGATTGTTTCAAATTTTGCAGGGAAAATCGTTCAGATGCAACAAAATTATCGGGAAGTGCTCGATCATTTCAATTTCGTTATAATATCACTATCAAGAATAATTGATTTATGTTAAATTTACAAAACTAAAGATTATACTTACAGCTCTTACTGCAGTCCCCGATCGACCATTCGTTAAACACGAAAATAGGTTTTGTTGTTCCTCTGTACGAGAGCCGGACGAGAAGTGAATATCACAGACGGTTTCCCCGATATATATGCTCATTTTCGATAATCTATTCCGCGTGCGGCCTTCATATCCGTGCTCCAGTGTTTGGTTTTCCAATTCTATTCTAGGGTTCGTAAAAGCCCAATTTATAATTTTGCTGATGTTTTCAACTGACTTCTTTGACCTGGTATCATAAGGAAAATGTAACAGCCCACGTATGCCAATGCAAAATGGCGTAGAGTGTGGGGTATTATACAGTCTCACAATAGAATAAATAAGGGACTGTTTTGGGAATAAATATTCACCAAATGCTGCTGCGAGTAAAACTATCGAAACGTCACGTTGAGAGATGGTGTCAGAAATTTCACACAAAAGGTTTGACTTCTCCTGTTGATCTCACGGTTGCTTACATTGCGTCATCACCAGAACCAGGAAGTTTGGTATACAAAAGCAAACCTTGCCTGTGTGTCTGAGTTTGCCGATCTGTTTGAATCTGTATGAGGAGTTCTTCTCCTTGTCAGTGCTGCCTTCTTGCAGTGCCTTCGATTCAATTATAAATAAGCTATTTTTTTTAGTAATACCGCAAAACAAGACAAGACAAGGTGAGATAAGAATTACGTATTTCTTGTCTTATCTTGTAATTTCAGGGTTTTTCTCTTGTTCCAATTGGCAAGAGAAAATTCGTCTCTTGTCTTGTTGGATATGAGCAAGAGAAAAAAATTCCTGTTTTGTCTGGCATTTTCTTGTGCAGCTCGACAATTTTATTTTTCAATTCCGTGAGAAAAATAAATTGAGTTTTTCTCGTTTGGCTAGTACGGCTCATTGTTAGTTGACAATTATTTAAATTTCAGAAACTAGCTTCTAGATTCTAGAAACCCCTCTTCTTAACTTTCATCCTTGGTTGGATGATAAAAACTAACGAATTTGGGAATTGATTTGAGAAAATTTTGTCTAAAATCAATACTGATTTTTTTCTTATTCCGCAAACTCCGATTGAACCGCAAAATCCCGCCTGAAGTGAGGACGGCTATTTCATACATGAGGATTTCTTTATGTGGAGGAGCTTTATCAATTGGGAGGGGAGTCCCATACATACGTGAGGAGGGTCGTACTGGCTTCTGGTTGTACCCCCCCCCCCATGTATGAAACTCCCGTAGGGAAGTAGGGGGGGGTATTAAATTCTCGATGTACAACCCCCCCTCAATTGAAACCCCCATTCCACAAAAGAACCCCCTGCCTACAATAAAATCGGCTTTTTATACACCGCCTCCCCACATGCAACCTCCTTCGCAGAATAAACCCCCTCCCCCTCAATTATAAAAAACCCCTCGGAAGAAATCCTCTACCCCTATGAAACCTCCGCCCAACAGGAAATCTCTTCTTCCTACCGCCACTTCAATTGAAATTTGTTATCCCACAACAGAACCCCTCCGCGGCAATAAAACCCCCTCCCTGCACTAAAACCCTCCTTTTATTTCAACTTCAAAACGGTCCATTTAGCCCAAAACTCCCTATTCCTGATTCCGGTAGCCTCGAGATAGTTTGATTTCGACGCATAGAAGAATTTCTTGCATTCCGCAGTCATTTTATCGGTTTTCTCGAGAATTTGACTATGGATTCGATTCTGTTGAAATGTCGTAAAATTGACGGTGAAAAAAAAATACATTTATGCCTCTAGGGACGGAAAGCCGCGATTCTAACCTCTCTTCCGTCGGTTAAATCGCGGTTTTCAATCCTCGAGGCATAAAATATCGTGTGTCACACGGCAGCAAAAGTATTTTCTGATTCATGTGATTATAACGTCACATTCATCAGAAAATACTTTTACTCATGTGATTATAACCCTCGGCTGCGGCTCGGGTTATAACGTCACATTCGTCAGAAAATACGTTTACTCCCTAGGGGCACAATAGTATATTTCAGCACGTGTGGGGCAATTTCGTCTTTAACGTGTGTAGGGTTTACAGCATGAGCCGAAGGCGAGTGAAAATTTTTTTTTCCCCATTTCTGTCACCTCCGAGGGTTTCATTGGCATCAGGGGGTCAATAAATACAGAATCAACGTTCACTATTTTTTATTTAAACACCGCCTGCAAACGGGGAGATGAGGGTGGCTAAAATATATTCTGCAACCCTGTCTCCTCGTTGGCTACAAATTTCAACCCTCCGCATACATGCCTTCCCCTTCACCCGCTCGTAAAATCACGCGTTCTCGGTAGCATCGAGGAGGACTTCTCAGGACCGAAAAGAACTGAGGATTCGAATGGTCTCTGGAAAAGTACGTCGCAGAA